GAGAGAAATATGGTTGGATTAAGGAACAGCCCTTGGACTATTAACTCTTTCAAGTCAGAAAACCAACAACTGTAGCGCTGCCTATCCATTATCTAACTGCTTTATCCAATTCAGGATCACAGGAGAGACAGATCCTGCAAGCAAAACCTGGATGGCAGGGTACACCCTGGACAGGATGCCATTCCATCACAGTCAGAAACACAGACACGAACACACTCAGAAGCCAGTTGACCTACCAGCATGTCTTTGGACTATGGGAGAACATACAGACTCCACACAGACAGCACCCCAGGGCTGCAGAACCTACAGAACCTAGTGCTGACCACTGCACCACCATGCTACCCCCTTGCATAACACTAAAAGCCACTTACTGAGATCAAGTCCCACTGTTCCATATCAATAAGTGGTTTCTTTACTGATGTTAATAGGTTCGGTGATATTTGCTATTTCAAGGACAAGTAGATTAAAAATAGTACTGCATGACATTTTTGCATTATGTAAAGAACAGACAAGCCAAGACAGTTTTTAATGTGACTGTTTATCTGATTTTTGGCCTCAGGTCATACAGAATGCTGATCTGTTTTCAGCTACAGAGATTGCGTGAAGATTACTGGATTCCCCTGGGAAGTTTCAGAACCTGCTGTCTGATGCTCGTCGGGAAGCAGCAGACAAACTCACCACCCTCCCGTGTTTCTTGGCCAGGAACACGAAGCGATCGGGCTCCCTGAGCCAGTGATGGTAGGTCTCGGCCATGTAGTCCAGTCCACTGAAGCAGTCGTCCGAGATGGCCAGGACCTGCTCGGCGTCCTCCTCCATGGCCGGGCAGAACTCCAGCTCCGGCTGACCCGCCCCTTCTCCGAAATCTGCCATCACGCACGAGACTAGAAAACAGCAGACAAGGGCATGGAGGGACGCACTCCATCGGAATGCTGCATTATCCCAGATTTCTTTAGCAGATTTTATCCTTAACTCCCCGCTGTGCTGTGCAGTGGCTGCTGGTGCAGAATGGCTGCTATACTGGTATCTACAGACCAGTGCTATCCTGTACAAGTACAGTCCAGGGAGACACTCTGGTTAATGATAATACTGAACTGTAGGAGTTGCTGATCTAGTTAGGTTAGCTTAGTCGAGTTTTGTTGGCCTCTCTGTTGCCTGTACTGTTAAACATCGTTATGTTGTTAATTATTTCCAGCCATTAAACAGCTGCGGATTCAAGCTTTTCAATGCAATTATTGAAATAGTTTC